GTACATTGTAGTCAATTTATTTAATATCTTTCTTAAGCAAAACATATATATCTTCAAATTTATAAATTGATTTAAATCAATCTGAGTATGAAGTTTTGATAGAAATCTGACTTTCTGTGCCTTACAAGTAAATGAAATTCAAAAATACTATATCACGATACATCGCTATATCGCGATGCAAAACTGACGATGCATCACGATATATAATTTCTAATATCGCCTAGTCCTACTGAGAAGAAAAGGAAAGGAAGGGTTATGAACTGGTTTTCTCCTCAGATGGTGATGGTGTATTCGAGCATTGCAATTGCAAATACTTATAAATTTAACACATCAACCAAATTTTACAAAATTTATTAAAATAAAAGCAAAGGGCAATTTAATTACACTATAAACAAACTAGGCATTTTTCAACCAGCCACTCTATAAGCGTATGAAATAATCTTTGTTAAATAGCATGCAGACAAGATTGCCAAAAAAAAAAATTCACTACTACCAAATATTCACTATATTCCACGTTCATTATTAGCATACTATTTTAGACACAGAAAAAAATTTTTTTTACCTCTTATTACTCAAAACAAGATTTACATCTGTATAAAGAAGGTCTGGATTAACTGTCTCACGATATTTGTTTAGAAAAGAAGAAACAGACTTTTCATACTCTTTGTCATCTGATATTCTTAAAAAGATTATATGATCCAACTGAAAAAGGAACAGTATTACTGAATGTGTAATAAAGAATATCAAAAGTACAAATATAATATTGATAAACCCATTAATTGTGATAAGCTTATAAATATTAACTGCTTAAAGGATTGTGCAGGGTTTTTAATATAAAACAAAATTTAGAAAATTCGTAAATGGCTAATGCTCAGTTTAAAGCGGCCACTTTTCAAAAAAGGTGGTCACACAGGTGGAAAATTTGAAAAAATTTAAAGAAAATGGTTAATATTAATGTATGGCATTTCCTTTTAAAAAAATTGTAAACATTACAAGGTTCATTTCTAAAATGAAAATAAATAAATAAGAAACAAGCTTTTTTCAGATTTTAATAAAATATTCATAATAATTCAATAAACAAAATAATCATAAAATCAATAAAATATTCAAACAGGTGGTCACATTTTAAAAAATTAGAAATTTTAAAGAATTGATAGAAAATTATTGATAATATTAATGCATGGCATTTCTTTTAAAATATGATAAAGTTCATTTCTAAAATTAAAAAAGTAAATAAATACATAAATTAATAAGAAACAAACATGAAATAAAGTAATTTTCAGATTATTATAAGAAAATTCATAATTCCAGACTAAAAAATAATTATAATTAACTATGCACATAAGGAACATTTTCGAAGAAACAAGTGGTGATCAGACAGGTGGCTGCCAGGGGGGTAAAGCATGAACTACGCTTATGCGTATTTTATTATGTATATTGTACCTACAATGTTTGTGCAGATATTGTACATGTGTATATATATAGGAAACACAAATTATATGTACATGCGCGAGTACATTCTATGTACATAAAAATATGTAACCCTATACATGCTTACATAATGCATTTACAATCAGTATGCAATCGTAATTACTTGTAATCGTATAGTTTGATTACAAGCAAGCACAATTACTTGCAATCATATATTTTGATTACTTGTAAACATAATTATCTGTAATCGTTTTTGTTGTGATTACTTGGAATCATAATTACTTGGAATCTTGATTACGGTTGTAATCAAAATTTTGGTGAATTGTAATCAAGATTACAAGTAATTGATTGCTGTAATCAAATATTGTAATCATGATTACAGCTGTAATCAAAATTATAAAAAAAATTTAATCATGATTACAAGTAATTGATTACTGAAATCGACTATTGTAATCACGATTACAGCTGTAATCAAAGTTGTAATCGTGATTACAAGTAATTGATTAATGTAATTTATTGTTGTAATCACGATTACAGCTGTAATCAAAAATATGTTAGGTGCTAATCATGATTAGTAGATGTAATTGATTACTGTAATCGAAAAATGTAATCGATTTCATTTTTGCTCAACTTTGGTTTGTGCACACTATACAGATCGAAAGTTTGTTTCAAAATAGGTAAAAAACCATATAATTTAAAACTTATAGTCACTTTTTGTTGAAATTCTGAAAATAAAATATACTAAATAAGAGTAAAGATAAAAATTGAAAGTTACTTTTACACCTTAAAAGCTTTTCTTACTATTTCCTTCTAAAGTATTCATTGTCTGATTATGCAACTGCACATGGAAGTTTGCATCGATGTTACCAATGTACGATATCTGACAGAGGAAATTTGACTGAAAAAAAGCTACTTATGTCGTTCACTCTTGCCTTATGTCCTCAGTAGCCCCCCTTTTCCCCTAAATATTATGTTAAACATATAATACCAATTTGTCAAAACCTTTTGAATCGGTTAATATATCGTTTGGAAGGTGTTTTCAAAACAAACAACTAAAAAAAAAATATTTATTTGTTTCAAATCTAAACATTTCTACTCGTTAAAAAACAATGAAATTATAGGCTTTTGTATAGGCATACATGCCCACGTTTTAAAAAGTCACAGTTGAAAAAATATCTAGAAATGTTTTCTTTAGATACATGGCATAATTAAAAAAATTCTAATTAAAAATAATTCTTTTTAATGATTTGGCTTGACAATGAACTTTAATTGTTTGGATTTCTAAGCTAAAATATACAATAACTTCAATGAATATACAATAACTTCAATAAAAAATTTCAATGAATATCGTAAACCTTCGTGTTACAGTAAAGATTATCTTCACGATTAAAAAATAAAATATAAATCTCAAAATTGTAAAAAAAAAAAATTTAAAAAGGGGAAAAAAGTGTAAGTTGAATATAATTAAAGCAATCGTAAGTGAAATGTTTTTCTCATCTTGATCCGGTTTAATTTATGTGGTTTTAAATTGAAATTGCCATGTTTAAAATGAAAAATAAAATTATTCAATTCATTTTTAACAAAAATGTCTATATTTTGAAAAAATAATCAGCACTATTTATAGTTTCAGTATTAAAATTTTCAAAATTGTGTACTTTAAACTAAAAAACTATTCATGAAAAAAGCTCTCATAAAATTATTACCACTGGTATAATTACTTTGATTATTTTATAAGATTTTTATTAAAAAAAAAATTTAAAAAAATATACATATAAATTACGCTTAACGCTTCCTACTCCAGATGTTACAGAAACAAATTGTCCCATGCTTAAAAATACATTGGTTTTTCTAATTGAAGTAGCTTTTACTGATAATTATAAAATTTTACAAAATTTGTTAATAAAACTTTGGTATAAAAATATTTCTTTGTTATTTTGTTTAAAGTATAAATTGAGAGTAATAATTTGTATTAGAATAAAAATTACCTTTGTTCATATCAATTATTGTTCGTGTGTAAAGGCTTTTTCCATGGTTTATTTTAAATAAGAGAGAATAAATGTATAAAGTATTTGGTGTTTCAAGCGCTGCTCTACACAATGTGGTTATCATATAGGATAAGAATAAAATAGTATATTTAAAAGAAAATTTAATGCATTCTATACCCAATCATGTTATTTCCCTGATTTTTGAGTTAAAGGTTTTTTGGTCATTCTTTTTTCTCAGGTAAATAAAGTGGCAACACATACCATTTTTGTCAATGAAAACAAAGGATTTGAAATCAATTTAATTTCAATAAAATAGAGAAAATGCTCATCTTAAGGAATCGCTATAAGAAAGCCTCTTGTATAAGTAGAAAAAATAATCGAAACAATGAAAAAATCGTTTTTCATAGAACTTTATTCCTTATGGACTGAAAAACAGAGATTTTTATTTTAACTAAAATACTTTAAATGATGACACATTTTCAGTTATTCTCAATGAGCAATGTTTATAGCTCTTTTCATTAAATTAAATTGAATTCTGATTTATAAAATTAAAGGTTACATTTCATTTTTGAATGAAAACAAAATTGTTTAAAAGCATAAAAAATTGGAAGTTCCAATTTTCAAGATTTAATAATTTAGTTTTCTTAATTTAAAATTTAATAATTTAATCTCCAATCTTACTAATTTTATTAATATAAAATAAGAACAAAATCCATGCAAACACAATAAATGGTAAAAATCATGAACTTATGTACGATAGAAATGAATTTGATATACAAACATAAATAAAAAGCAATTTTTATATAACCATTCATATAAAACTATTCTAACAGAGTACATAAATACACTATTTTAAATGTATTAAATGATTTGATGCAAACATTTGCTTACCTCCTTAGAGATAAATTTATCTTACGTTTTCTTATTATTCAAAGAAAAACTTAATTTAGAATGTGAATTATTGATGACATGATTTATGTTCTTTTTTTTTTAAAAAAAAAAGAGAGAGAATGGTGCAAATAATTTTAATTAAGTCTCAACTAAAATTAAATACAATTAATTAAACAAAATAAAAGTCAAAAAGTCAATAGCTTCAAAAGTGATAAAAAAATAAACAATTTCACTTGACTTTATAATTGCGAATGCCTAAATATCAAAAGATGCAAAACACATTTTTCGCTCCCTCACTTTAATTTAAGAGGAAAATAAAGTTTTCTATTTAGAAAATAGCTTTAAAAAAGAAAAAAAAATTTTTTTTTTAATTACTTAAATTAAGAATAGTAGACAAAGTTTTGAATTTTAAGTCATAAATTTTTTTTTTAATCATTTCAAAGAATTTAATTTTATGTGTCAAAATTTGCACAAAATCGGATAGTTACTAAGAAATTGAATTTTAAAAAAGTCGTATAGTTAAAATTTGATTTCTCAGGAACCTTCTGAACAATTTGGTTCAAATGTTATACTTTGCTATAGAAAATTAAATTCTTTAAAATGATTTAAAAATTTGTATATCTTACAACTCAAATTTTTTTCGATCAATGTTAGAAATAATAATAAATAAATAATTATTAAAAATTATTTTTTTATCTCTGAATAAACAAATTTCATAATTGTACGCAAAAATTTTCGACACGCTTAAAAAGTTTTTGAGATATGGTGAAGCATAAAGTAAAATCAGCATTAAGGGGTCCAAACTTTCGGCCACTCTATCCTGACCAATCTATCGAAACCTTATTTTCTATATTGCGGCAACTCAAAACATCATCTGCACTAATTTATTATCATATTTGAGGATGAACTATTATGTTTGAGTTCTAGTACATGGAAAATCCAATCATTAAATCAAAAGTTTTTCAAGGCGTTTAATACTATGAAGAAATTACATTTTCTGATGTTGTTTTGAATGAATGAATCCACTTCCTCGAAAGATAATGGAAAATTAATTAAATTGAAAAATAAAAGTATATATATTTTTTATTTATCCTCAATTATTATACTGTTTATTATCTATAATTAATATTTAATAGCAATATTTTTTTATACATAATGAAAAAAACTACATATTCCGCTTTTTTTTGCTCTTTGTGAGTTGTCATCAAAGGGAAAATCCCGCATCCTGTTTAAAAAGTGTGAAATCCACAGGAATAACTGGAAAAAATTCAATGATATGAGAATGTTTATTTCCGATGAAATCTCACTAATAGGAAGCTTCAAAAAGGAGATAATTAAATGTACATTTTGAGATTTATGCGTTGTAATAAGTAATATATTAAAAATATCGAGATT